TTCATTTTAACTGTAAACCTCTGTTGTGCAGCATTTTGTTGCTAAAAAGTAAATTGGAATTGTTAAATTTTAATTTGTTCATATTTTAAAAGATTAAATAAAATGTTAATGTTTTATGCCTTAATTTCTTTATTACAGATACATTTTCATCATAAATTATTCTATCATCATAAATTATTTCATCATAAATTATTTCAGTGTTTAGTCATATAAATAACAAAATATAGCAAAGAATGCAGTTCTGCAGGAAATGCAAAATATGTAACCTAAATACACGTTGTATTTTACTTTATTGTTATTTAAATGTATGTGAAATTATAATAAAAAATGTGTATTTCTTTTAAATGTTAATTATTAAAAAACAATATTTAGACCAATAAGAACTATACGGTTGCTTTTACAGTAACGGTGTTAAATGTAATCAAAATTAATATTAAAATGTTGTGATGCCTGAAATCATAGCATTTAAAACCGAGTTTAGTTTCTAGTGTGTGAATTTTTTTTATTATTATCAATCTTAATATTAGCCACTTATCAGTTTCTAGTCATAACTTGAAAATAATTATGGGTTTATCCATGTCAGATGTCAGACAGAATTGTAATATTAGTGATATCTCTAGTTTGGTGGTGTGTATTAAACTAAATGCTAAATGCTGTTAAGAGTTTATTGATTATTTGTTTGTTTTATTTAGTTTTTAAAGACCTTCAGTATATCCTACTTCCTGATTTTTAAATAGGAAATGCATCTGGAAATAAAATGCGCAGTTCAGTGTATGTTATTGTAAAGGAATAATGATTGTTTCATAATCTTTCGTCACAACGTCATCATTTTATCTGTATCTGAAAACTTTTCTTTTTCTGCGGACATAACTAAGGCCGTGCAGGTGGGTCAATAATATTATTGGTTTCAATCAAATCCCATTGAATAAAATCAAGTCCTGCCAAATATTTTTGCCAGTTTCACTTAGAATTACAATTAAAATGCCTTCAGATTGTTTATTTAGCCAGTGAAAGGTCTGTTCAGTATTTGAAGTGGCTTCCTGACACTCACTATCATGCCTGTAATGCTTAGCAACATGGTTGAGTTTGAGCTGTTAGCTGGTCATATTATAAAGCAGCGTGACACTAGTGTGTGTTTCAACAGATGGCAGCAGCCCCATCGTGATGCAGCCATCCTCTGCCACAGAAACCACTCAGCTGACCGCAGACTCTCACCACACCACCTACCGGACAGACACCAGCTATTAAACCTCCCTCTCTCTCTCACATACACACACACGGGACCACCATGCCAGAAGAGGTCACGGTGGTCAGTGGGTGATCCAAAGGAAAGAGAATGAGCGGTTAGTTAGTTACAGTATCATTGGAAAACCTGAAACGCTCCACTGTACAGGGCAAGAAGCGAGTTTATATTTATTTGCATTTAACCTCAATTATCCCCAAACCTACTGCGGTGTTATATTCAGCACACACACACACACACACACACACACACACAAACACACACACAAGGACTTTCTTACAGTGTCCATACAGTCTTCCTGCTATGATTCAAGCTTCATCTTGCCGACAGCGCTTGTTGTGCAATTTGCACTGGTTATCACACTGCATTTGTCTACATAATCAGTGAAAATAATTTTGATCAATCGTATTTGAAGCATGACAACCACAGGACATAAGGAAGTATTTTTGTATGATTTAGTGTATTCAGCTATCATAATGGTTATTGAATCTGGCTACAATTTTATAATTGTAGAGGTTGTCACACAAACACTACCATTCAAAAGTGTGGGGTCAGTTATTTATTTATTTTTTAGAAAGTATGCGTTAAATTGATCAGAAGTGACAGTAAAGACATTTGTTACAAAATATTTCTATTTCAAATGTCATTCTTTTGAGCTTTGTTCATTTACAGTCCTTAAAAACACACACAAAAAAAATTTAAGAACTGTTTTCAACACTGATAATAATAAAAATGTTGCTTGAGCAGCAAATCGGCATATTAGAGTGATTTCTGAAGGATCATGTGACACTGACGACTGGAGTAATGATGCTGAAAATTCAGCTTTGTCATCACCGGAATAAATTACTTTTTAAAATGCATCAAGATAGAAAACTGTTATTTTAATTGTATTTTAATTAACAGTATTTCACAAAATTAATGTTTGATTAATTTTTGTTCAGCCTTGGTGAGCATAAGACTCAAAAAAAAAAAAAACCTTCCTAACTTACTGACCATAAACTTTTCAAACTCAAAGTTATTGACCTTTCCATACATTTGATTGGCTCTCACTAGCACAAACCTCACAATCGCATTATAAACAGACCTGTGCCATTTTTATTAAGCAGAAATCACACTATATAAATTATAATCCTTACATCACACTATATGTAAGTTATAATCCTTAAGGTTCAAAGCGTTTCATTACATAAACAGGAAATGGTTTTGAGTTGTTAGTTACATTTATATTTTTCTAAATAGTAAGGCAGTGTAGTGTAGTCACTGAGGACGCATTGCTGTGTCATGTTGTGTATGTTTATCTGAGCTGTCTCTCGTGTTAATGGCATCTGGTGGGCATGTACTGTCAAATATAATCATGCAGTGCTCAATTTCAGCCACATTGTCTTACTGTGGTAGTGGTGTGTTTTGGTGTGATTGATCACTGGAACAGAGTTTGGGGTTGTCAGATAAATACAAACACACCTTTGTGCCGGGTTATTTAATCTTGAACGGGTGTTTTGTATTTCCTTCTGTATTCTCAAGGCTTTGCTAAGGTAAAGAGTGTTTGCATTCCTCAGGATTGTGGTTTCAGAAAGCATAAGCCCATCCCCGGACAGCTGGGTTCAGTACAAGCACAGGAGGATTGTGGGTAAAGGGATTCATCTGCACAAAGCATACATTGTTTCCCGTATAATTCAGTAACATCAGTGATTTTTATTAATTGATTCTATAGTTTCACACTGACCCAAAATTGTTAATTGATGCATCATTTTTTAGTGTGATACATTGGGGAGTAATGAAAATATCCATTCTCTATACATTTTCTAGCTTTGCTCAGCCCTAAAATATCGATTAATTATGGGTGCATGAAAAGGTCATGGAAAAGTCATTGCTCAAACAATTTGGGAACCCTGACACTTGCAAATTTTTTAGATCTTCTCTTTTCTTTAATCTCTCAGAATACATGCATATTTTAATTTAATTTAATTTTTATTTTTTGATAGGAGTAAGCATAAACATACAGACTTTTAAGTGTAGGAAACCTTCATTTCTGTGTGTGTGTGTGTGTGCTGTTTGAAACTGAGATCTTAATTTAATCACTGCATTATCTTCTACTGTATGTTCTGTGTTTAAATATGTAATTTCTATAAAAATGGATTAGCGGTATATCTGTCCCTGTTTGCGCATACATTCATTTACATGCACTTGAACCAGGATGTATGGAAAACTTGTGTAATTTACCCCAAATGTGTATGTTTTATTTGTTTAGGATCACATTGTAGGTTTATCTCATTTTTTTTGTGTTTTATTTTTCTAAATCATTAGGCAGATTATTAGTGATCATGTTTCTAAGCATTTCTAAGACTGACCTGTTATAATGTGTAACGCTTTTTATTTGCAAAATATTATTTCTCAACACAAGCTCCACTGTAACACGGTTACTGATCAGTTTTTGGTTTGTTATCCCAGTTTTGCTTTCCATTTATTTGTTGTATTCATTCATTCATAATCATAAAAAAAAACTCTGATCTGACTTCCTATTGCTTCCAATCTAAGAATAAGAGAACGAATGGAGCATTGTATGTGAATGCAACACCTAAACAGAATCACATTAAAAATGAAGGAAGTAGTATAAACATGGTGATTAGATACAATATTTGATTTATTATTTTCCTATGTTTTTAATAAATTACGTTCAGAATGTGTAAATGAATATGACTGTTGTACAGAATGGGTGAATTCTTTTGTGCGTTCTGGATAAATCAGCTGAAATTGTTGTAGCATGAATGTGTCAGAGAAGTAACGTTGATAATTGGTCTGAATTACAGCTGTAAAATAAATGTGAAGGAAGCTATAAAAAAAAGTATCTGTGTTTATGTGTGTATTTGTGCAAAGGAAATTATGATCTGCAAAATAAAATGGCAATGTTGCTTTTCAAACACTTACAAGGATAAAAAGTATGATTTTTTTCTCTCTCCTTTTTCAAAGTGTTGTTTTGGACCCCATTGACTTTCATTGTATGGGTAAAAACAGTTGAAACATTCTTCAAAACATCAACTTTAGAGTTCTACAGAATAAAAAAAAGTCATACAAGTTTGGAAAAACATGAGGGTGAGTAAAAATAATGACTGAATTTTTATTGTTGTCAACTATTCTTTTAAGTAGCTTCTAATTAAGTACACTACTTTTTTCAATTATTTGGTCAAAAATAGGCTACTGTAAAAAAACAGTAAAATTGTGAAATATTACAATTTAAAAATTACTCTTTTTCAGTTTTTTCCTCTGTCTTTTTCCAACTCAAATGCACTCGTACACACTTGTGGATGTTTTTGTGTTAAAGGTTTCACGTACACTTCATAAACACCTTTCTTTCCTCTAATACTGTAGCTGTTCTGACATTATTGACTTGTTGGCTGTTTTGGGACTGAAGACATGAATGATTGGAGTAACACGAGATGAGGCATCATCTCTGTTTCCCAGCATTCCACTGGCTGCCTGATATGGGCACAACTGATCAAGGGTAGGGGGTGTCCCGGTGTCCCAGTGAGCCAGCAAGAAACCAGACACCTTCCCCCTCTCGCACATGCACACACACATACAGCACAGGCCCCATCGCGCTGTTCAAGCACAGGGTCAGAGCAACTGCCTGCTGCCTCGAGCGATTAGGCAAGCACACAGCACAGAGACATGAAGACGGTGGTGTCTCATCTCCCTAGCTGTGGTTTCACTCTCCTATCTTAGTTTCCAGTGAGTGTGGGGTCAGCGAGGGCACACAGCCATGTCTCTTCCACTGGATATACCTACATTGGGGACGCTGGGGAAACAACTCATCTGTCCCATCTGTGTGGAGGTCTTCACGAAACCTGTGGTCATTCTGCCCTGTCTGCACAACCTCTGCCGCAAATGTGCCAATGAACTGTACCAGGTGTGTACCAAGTCACTCGGAGGATGATGGTTTGTGTGTGGATTTAAAAACATTTTGTATTAACCATCTGAAACATGTTTACATGTTCTTTTTCAAGCCTTTGGTAAGATGATAATTTCTCAAAATAGCACCTGTGCACTTGATATACATACAGTTAATCTGTACATGACATGAGCTGCCAGTTTCCTTCATAAACCAAAGTGTTTTATGTGCTAAGGTGCTATTTGAATTTTAATTGATAACTAAGTTGGATGGTCAACAACATGTAAAGGCCCGTTCACACCAGTAACATTAACTATATTAGCGTCCACACCAATGGATAACAACATTCTGTCTTCTGCCACTTTAAACGCTCAAGCAGGATGGATTCTCACTGGCTGTGAATATTTTTAATCATTCAACACCTGGAAAAAAAAAATCTGATTTCTCTGTCTTTATCATTATTGTTGGGGTATAAGTTTCCATATTCTCGTACAATTAGAATGATTTTTAAAACTTTACAGTTGTAGTTATTACTATAGATATATTTTTTTGGAGTGAGCGGGCCTTAACTAACTAAAGTTATGACTGCAGCACCACCGCAACCACAAACACAGACAGTTTTCTAGTGACCTGTCGTGCTGATATGTGGAAACCCAACAGGTGGGGATTGCAAATGTCTAAATTCAATCCCCAGCCTGAAATCTGAGGCATAAAAATAGGTGATGGCCTACATTTGATGCATTTGAGCATTTAGTGCTCATGCAGCACACAATGGACATATTGAGATGAGAGATAGTCCCTTGTAACAGCTATATGTCTTGTCTGCATAATCCTTCTCTTCCTCTGCCCCTAAATTAACTTTGATACCTCACCAGTTTTCTTTTACACCTCCTCATAGGCAAAGGTTAAAAGCCAAGCTATGTATCTGTCATATGGCCAATTTACATGGGAGAAAAATGATGCCATCTCTGGCTGCATCTTCTTATCTGCATGCTTATCTTACTTTTTTCAGATGCTACCACATCACAATTATCAGATAGCTATACATAGCATCCTTCACATTATGCTGATGTCTAAGTTGGGAAGGTGGTCCAAAGGGACGCTAAAAAATGCTAGTTGATCCCTGTTATTTTAGGAACCAGGGTTGGACAAAATTCTGAATTGAAGTAAAGGCCTACTTGCAATTGTTGTCTAAGAATTAAAAAATGCACAAGAAGTTGAATCAACATTTGAATTGGATTGACGGGAAATTTGCTGAATTACAATTAGAAGAAATTCAACAGATAATGTAATTGAGGGAAATGCAGTCTTCCACTCTGGTCCATAAACCGGTAAAGCATATAAAGCAAACCTTTTTTTACATTTAAAAAAAAAAATTATAATAAATACACAAATACAACTTTCAAAAAAGGCTGTCAAGCTTATATTCATAGTTGAGCAACCTTCATTTTTAGTTAAAATTACGCTTCATGGGGTCATAAGAATTTCTTAGAATTTCAATTCATTTTAATTCCACTTTCTTAAATTCAAATTTGGATTTCAATTCAAAAATTCTTATATTCTCAAATTAGAACTCAATTCAGTTCTGAATGGTGCAGAGCCCTGCTAACTGCATACACTTGACCTCTGACCTCTCAGAGTGAGTGCAGTGTCACTCTGAAACTGAAACCAAGAGCATGTTGTGGCATAAATATATTATCTTGATCCTTGATGAACGTCCAGTTGTGCATCTCTGGTAAATAAATAGCAAATAATTCAGTAAATAAATAATTCCCATCATGCCTTACAACAACATTATAATTGGACCAGTGATGGTGCTCTGATTCACACTGGACCCATAAGCCTCAGCAGCTGAGAGCTATTAAAGTGTGAGACTATTTTAGGATATTTTGTTTGCAAACTCTATTTCATGCCCCTGTCTCTATTGATTAAGACAGGACACACAGACCAAAACATAGGCACACACATGCTCATCTTACCCTAGAAAGGCACACAGTGTAGAGAGGTACATGAAAGTCCAATTAGTCTAACCAAGTGGTGATGATGTTATTCAGTCTAGTTGACCGTGCTAGCCATTTCTTTTCCTTTTTTCTTCCTTAAAAAGACGTATGTAGTGAATTATGAAAAGTGGTTTCAATTGTCAGTTGATATAAAATATCACAAATACTGCTGACAGCTGAAGAACAGCATGCTGAGTAAGATGTGCAGCCATCTCTCTTCCAGGTTGGAATCGGAGGACGTTTTCGCTGCCCTTCCTGTCAGCATGAGGTTGTCTTGGACCGTCATGGAGTTTATGGACTGCAGCGCAATTTACTCGTGGAAAACATTATTGATGTTTACAAACAGGAGTCTGAAAGGTCAGATCAGGGGTGTGTTGAATAACTGTCGTCAACAAAGATGATAAAGTAAATGTAAGTGCAATCTGTACTTAAAGGGTTAGTTCACCCAAAAATTTTTATTCTGTCATTAATTACTCACCCTCATGTTGTTTCAAACCCGTAAGACCTTCGTTCTTCTTCGGAACACAAATTAAGATTTTTTTAATGGAGTCTGAGAGCTGTCTGACCCCGCAAAGTCAGCAACACAACTGAAATGTTTTCAAGTCCAGAAACGTAGCAAGGAGATCTGTAAAATAATCCATGTGACATCAGTGGTTCAACAGCGTATGCTGTTCTGTGTCAGCTGCGTCACACGGATACGCTGTTTCCGTTCAGATCAAATCACAACAACGTAGGAAGCACATCCGGCGTGACGCAGCTGACACAGAACAGCATACACTGTTTACGTCCAGCTGATACTCTCCAAAATGGCGCTACAGGGTGACACGGAGGAGACGAATTGTTAAATAAAGTCGTTTTTATTTTTATTTTGCGCACAAAAAGTATTCTTGTGGCTTCGTAAAATTACGGTTGAACCACTGATGTCACATGGATTATTTTACAGATCTCCTTGCTACGTTTCTGGACTGAACATTTCAGTTGTGTTGCGGTCTATGCAGGGTCAGACAGCTCTCAGACTCCATCAAAAATTATGTTAATTTGTGTTCCGAAGATGAACTAATGTCTTACGGGTTTGAACGACATGAGGGTGAGTAATAAATGACAGAATTTACATTTTTGGGTGAACTAACCTGTTAAGGCTTTTATGGCTCTGTATGATATATTAGAATATGGAATATAATTTATGTATTAAAGTATGGAGCCCATACTTGAGTTTTTATACTGAGACGCCCAAACTGAGCAAAAAAAGAAAAAAGAAAAAGTGTGATCTGTTGCAGATGCTGATATTTATAAGACTAAAAAGTTATGTGAATTATGATAGCTTTCAATGTCAGTTAATTATGTCAGATCTTTATAGCAGTATAGCAGAATAAATAAATAATAAAATGCATATAAATATCAGTTGTCACTCTATATCTCCTTAGTAAGATGATAGACTGTAAATGCTTACTTTAATGATCAGAGCTCTGTAGTTGGTGCAAAACTTAAAAAGCAATGCAGTACAATGACGATTGGGAAATGGGCAAATAAACATTCCACAAAAGCCTGATGTATCATATTTGATATTCACATCTTAACAGAATTTAAGTGTTTATCTTGAAATATTACTAACGGTATCAAAGTTATTCTTACTTACATAAATCAGGTAATAATATAACACTTCACAGTAAATACTGTATATACCACAACCTGGAGGGGAACATTTTTACAGTTAAACTGTACAGTTTACAGTAAAACTTCACTGAAACAGGTGTTTCAGTGATGTTTTGATCATGTTGATCATTTAGAAGCCTTTTTGTCCAACAAATGTTGGCTTTACCCTAAAGGCTTTATATAGAGTTAATGCTTCTATCAAATGATTTATATAATCAACTAAAAATTCAGGGCTATCCATGAAATGGTTGTGGCCATATATAGACCCTTCACCCAGGTCTGGTGATGCCTGTGGTTGTTGGTATATATGGTGCATTTTTTTTGGAGGATTAAACACTTTAACTGATCTTTATTTTATTGTAATGCTATCAATGTGTCTCCAGCTCTAGGCCTCCACCGAAGCCTCCTGTACAGTTCAGCTGCACGGAGCATGAAGATGAGAAGCTTAATATTTATTGCATCACGTGTCAGGTGACCTCCTGTTCTCTCTGTAAGGTGTTTGGGGCCCACAAAAACTGCCAAGTAGTTCCCCTCCCTGATGTTTACCAGCAGCAGAAGGTATGATCTTCAAGATATTTGTGTTGTCATGTTACATCTTGACATTTTACACCAAATAATTAATTTCACCTTTTATAGTTATTTTCACATCTCTTCTGATCAATGCTGCCAACTTTACAGTTGAAGAAGAAGTGGAGGAAACATCTGATGAACCAGAGTCAGAACCTGAGTCTGACCCTGAACCTGAACCAGTGCTGACCCCAGAACCTGACCCTGAACCATATCAGGATCTGAAATCAGAGGGTTCTGAGATGACGAATCCCACGCCGGAGACAGCAGAGGACACTTGGGGACAAGCAGACAGTTGTAGAGACATCAGAAAAGTGGCTGTGTGTGAAAAGAATGGCTTAAGCACTTCACAGGTACGTTCTTCTACTAATGTGTGCATCTACACTCTCAGTCAAAGTTTTCAAGAACATTTTCTGCACTTCAATAACAACACCTAACTTGAGACTTGTTAAATAAAAATGTCTGCGGTATTTGAGGTTATTGAAATATATATCAACAATTGCTTCTTTTCTGTCTTTCCTTTAGATTGTCACTCTAGTCCTTTATTTCCTGTGCTTTCTGGTCGTCCTACAGACAATATGGGGAAACATTCAGTACCTTATTTGTATATAGCAGAGGTGAAGAGACATAGTCTCCAGGTACTAATAATGCTCACATGATATTTTGAATAAAAACAAAGCCAAAATTTTTTGTTTAAATGGAGGAAGGTTTTAAGATATATTGGATTATTATCATGCCTATATGTTCTGGCATAAAAATAAAGTTTTCTGCTGACTGGCACTAGAAGCCTGTGAGCGTCGCACTAGAAGGACTGAGCCCTCCAGTGGTCACCAGTGAGATGATTTGTCTCTGATTCTCCTAGCTCAATGCTCCAATAAAAAAACAAGAAGCTCATAGAAAGAATGATGACTTGCTACTGGTCTCTTCCCTTTGCTTCTTGACAAAATCTTCTTTGTGTTTGTGCAAACAATTAAAACTTTGTGTTCACTTATTTTAGTTTTTTGTTTGCCCAATAACGTTGCCTATTCTTGCTGTGATAGTTAGTGACAGTTCTCGCTATTTGTTAGACTAGTGCTCAAAGGCTATATCATTTTAAACACCTGTTTACCAATCTGAATTGACTTTAGATTTGGTTGTAATGAGATGAATGGATGAATAGTTGTTAGAACTGCTGAATTTGTTTGAATGAGTGTAATCTTGGCTTGAATTAAAACCCAGTGTTTTTCTTTTCTTTTATGAACAAATTATGATTAAATTAACAAATTAATCAAATGTGGCCACAGCCAAGTTGTAGGAACACATTTTTAATTTGTGACACAATATTTATATTTTGCTCTGTATGATTAACATCTAATTTAAAGTTGACATGAAACAGAAGTTGCAACTGTCTTTTCTTCCCTAATGTGTATATCCCAGTGAAATGGTTTCTCAAATGAGTAAAAATGTTGTCCATCGGGAATTAATCGATTGTTGTTTGGACTATCAGAATCAGAGAAGAGATGACATTGCAAGGAAGTTGGAAGTTGTTTTTATTAAAGATTACAAAGGCACATGATAAATTGTTTATAACACTGCAATATTCTATAAAAAATAATAATGTGCACGGATAAAGCAATTTATAATAAACTGCAATGTTTCATAAAAATAAGAATTGTCCATTTTGATTTTGTGATGACTTTATAGCAGGGGTGATTCTAGGATTTTTTTCAACTGGGGGACATAAGAGGGCCAATTAATACAGAGGGGCTGATCTTTTGTATTGACGTTGTGTATTTATGTAGAACTGTATCCAAATCATTTATAGTTCACTATAAGCTTTAAAATCAGCAATAAACAGTGATACCTTATTATCCTTTAATTAAATTTTTTCACTGCTGTAAATCAGAACGGTCAAATACAATTTGTGTTAACTTTTCAACTCACAAAAATGATAAAACTTAACATTAATGCTTTAATGCAGGGCCAGTTGATGAGCTGATGAGTGGCAGTTGATGGTCATCAGAAGGTTGGAGAGAGAGAGAGAGAGCGCTCTGTGTGTGTGTGTGTGTGTGTGTGTGTGTGTGTACGCGTTTTTATGACAAATGAGGACATACATTTGTATAATGACAAAGGTATGACATAGGCATTACAAGGAGAAGGTGACTTTTCAGGACATTACCCCATGTCCCCACTTTTCAAAACGCTTATAAATCACACAGAGTGGAGTGTATTGAAAATCTGAAATAGCACAAAGTTCCCTGTGAGGGGTAGGTTTAGGGGTAGGGTTGGTGTAGGGCAATAGAGTATACGGTCTGTACAGTATAAAAACCATTACGCCTATGGGATGTCCCCACTTTTCACAAATGTAAACCTGAGTATATCTTTTCTAGTCCTTTCTATCCTGCAGTGTTTTATTTTCAGGTTAAAATTTTGCTCCACATGGCTCACCAACAGAGCAAGATGAAGGCCTAAAGAGGTAAGCTGTTCTGGAGAAATCAAGAAAAATGGTAGAGAAGATCAAAGAACTTGAAAAATTGATTACTGTTTCAAAAGAAAAAGGTGATTCAGCCCTGGCCTCAGCAACCGTGTCTGAATGTGGTTTTCATTTCTAATTAAAATGAACTGCATTTTTACATTCTTAGGAACTAAATATGTTTGCAGATGGTGAGAAGTACTGTAACCAGCTGACCAAGCAGAAAATCAGCATGAAAGAACCGATATCCAGGGTATGAAAGAGATGTTAAAGGAGGACAAGAATGTTGCCAATGCTTAAAGTGCTCAAAACTAATGGACCTGAGAAGAGACTTGGAAGGATGGGAGTCGATTCTGGCAAAGTCAGAATAGGATAAACAGGTGAAAGCAATCAAATATTTTACTAAAATATGGTTGTAAATTCCCCACACAGAGGTCATGCAGCACAGACTTGGAAGATCTCAGCATTAAATTGAAGAAGATAATAGCTGCTTTTTTGGGGGGGTACCAGTAGAATATATTTTTTATGAATGTGATTAAAATACTTAGATTTCAGTTCCATGCAGAGCGACTATTAAAAAATGGAGTCTGAAATGTGAGGAGCTGCAGACAGACCTTGAAAGCTATCAGAAGGAATGCCATTTCTAGATATACAAGCTCAGGATTGCTTATGAGGAGTTCCTTGATCATCTGGAATCTGTTAGAAAAGATAAAAAGTAATTTCTGGTATTGCAGGCTCTCAGAGAATTTTTAAAACTCCTTATACAAACATCAATTAGTATCAGTGACAACTGAACTAAATGTTCAAACTAGTGCTTTCAAATGATTAATCGTGATTAAATCACACCCAAAATCAAAGTTTTTGTTTACATAATATATGTGTGTGTACTATGTATATTTATTATGTGTATATAGATACACACACATACAGTATATATTTTGAAAATACATGTATTTACATGTATATATTTATATTCATATAATTTATAATATATATAAATGTATTTAATATATAAACATAACATTTTTCTTAAATATATACACGTATGTGTGTGTATTTATATATAAATCATAAATATACACAGTACACATATATATTATGTAAACAAAAACTTTTATTTTGGATGAGATTAATCGCGATTAATTGTTTGACATCACTAGCCAAAATAATTTTTTGTATATTATGATATAATGTATAATTAATTTTTATAAACAATGTTTAATTTTATTATAATGTTAACATTATAATAAAATATTATTACGATAATATTATATTATTATATTGAATTATAATATATTTTTGTTGTAGTTGAGTTATTATAATTACAGTGATTATATAATTTTAGCCATCCAACATGCAATATGCATATTTTTAATTATATATTGTTGTTTAGTTTGTGTTTATGTATTATTCATTTATTTATGTATACATTTTTTTATTTAAAAAAGCAATATTGCAACTGTCACTGATAATGCGTTGTTGTATGGAAAACAACAAGTCTTTGATCATTTTTTTTTTTTGCTTGCAAAATGCATACATACACATATTCCATGTGTGGGGACATTGTGGGGACCAAATGAACCCACAAAGATAGTGAAACCTGACATATTTGACCTTCCCCACAAGTGAAATAAATTATAAAAAATACTGAATTACTAGAAATTGAAAATGTAAGAATGCAAAAAAGGTATAGGTTTAAAGGCAGGTTTAGTGGATAGAAAATATCATCAGCTCAGTATAAAAACAATAGAGGTCTATAGCAACTCCCTACAAAGATGGCTGTACAAGTGTGTGTGTGTGTGTGTGTGTGTGTGTGTGTGTGTGTGTGTGTGTTTGTGTGTGTGTTGTGTATGTGTGTGTGTGTGTGTGTGTGTTGTGTATGTGTGTGTGTGTTGTGTCTGTGTGTTGTGTGTTGTGTGTGTGTATTGTGTCTGTGTGTTGTGTGTGTGTGTTTTTGTGACAAATGAGGACATACATTTGTATAATGACAAAGGTATGACATAGGCATTACAAGGAGAAGGGGACTTTTCAGGACATTACCCCATGTCCCCACTTTTCAAAACGCTTATAAATCACACAGTGTGGAGTGTATTGAAAATCTGAAATAGCACAAAGTTCCCTGTGAGGGGTAGGTTTAGGGGTAGGGTTGGTGTAGGGCAATAGAGTATACGGTCTGTACAGTATAAAAACCATTACGCCTATGGGATGTCCCCACTTTTCACAAAAACAAACCTGTATGTGTGTGTGTGTGTGTGTGTGTGTGTGTGTGTGTGTGTGTGTGTGTATGTAAATCCTGGGGCTGGGGCGTCTTGCCCATTCAAAGTCCCAGATTTTTGATCCAAGTGGATATAAACGTGATATTAATGATTATTAACGAGTTTAATAATGGGGATCTAAAGACAATCATAAATCACAAGCTACACAACATCTTCATAATCTCTATAGCTAATAGTTAAATGATCAAATAAACCGTTTTACATGTGGTGAATGAAGTTCGAGGTTGCTGCGGTCATGTTCGGTTTGCAAATTTCTTTTTATGAATATG